ATAATAATTATTATTATTGACATTATTATGGATCTGTTTCAGTAGCAACCAGGTGTACCATCAAGAGAGCAAGCATACTTTTGTTTTGCATTTTCATTTGCTTAAATTTGTTTTATAATCACTTATAATCATTAGTCCTTTATATAGTTTCATTTAATTGTGTATTTTTTATGTTGTTATACTTTATAGTAATTGTCATTTTAAATATTAATTTTTGGTATTGTTTAATGTCATGATTGTGGGGTTTCAAGGTTATATATTAATTATTATTAATTATTTCATTTTTATTGTATTCATTATTTATTGTTTATTTTTATTAAAATCATTTAATTTAGTAATCATTCGTTTTTTATTACACTTATGATACTGAACAGTACTTTTTAATTATTATTTTATTGTTTTTATGTGTTTGTTGTTTTATTTTATGACTGATACTCTTATTCTCTCATAATGACTGGCTATTACATAAAAAGTTATTGTTTGCATAAAATGAGTTGTTTCCTGTTGAATGCGCAGTGGTGTACTAACACTATTGAGTGTTATTCTTTGGAGACCCACCAAATGATTGTGAAAAATACTGGTCAAACCAATTATGGGCCTGTCTTTAATCAAAAGTGCATTCGCTACTGCTTAAATTGAAGTAACGATCTTGTATATTAGCCTTTATTGGAAGTTACTTGATATAAAATGAACCTGGTTGTCAGTGTATTTGAGGAACACCCTCTTGGCTCTGTGTCCTGGGAGATGATTAAGCACAGACCACAGAGGAGACTATATGATTCAAAGTGTTTGCTGGGAGAACAACAAACAAACCATTGAACTATATCATTGAGCTATAGTACTAAACAAGCACTCCACTTTTTAATCACAGCTAAAAATCAGCGGTAAAGCTCCTATAGGAATGTTTTATTCCCACTGTTTTGATAGCATTTCATTCCAGACTTTATCCTGAGAGACTGTGAGGGGATCATTTCTGAAATTTGAAGGAAGTGTCCAGTCTAAATTTCCCTTTGCAGTTTATCCAGCTTTTGCGCAAAAGGATTTCCATAAATGTTCTGGTAAATTACACACACCTGATGACGTGAAACAGCTTTAGTGAAGCTGCTGCTGGTGTAAGTTGGCCATCAATGATTAATCTCGGTTTACTAAAAAATCTAATTAATGTGAGGTCCTAATCCTTATTACGAATTATAATTAGTATTGTGCATTGTGTGTGTTTGATATTCAGGCCTACGAGTTGTTCCAAGGAAAGGGTGCCCTTTGTGTCCCTCATCAGCATACGTGTGACGTGTGAATAATGACTCAAAGAAAATGCCAACTGGTACAACTGGAGTTTTTGTAAAACATCTAGAAAAATGTAATACGTTTATTTTTTATTAAATTACATTTTATTTTTTATTGTTTTATTTTATTGTATTGTATTTATTTAAATGAAAACTTGTATTTTGTATTTATCCTCTATTTTCTGTTTATTTATTTTGTCAACTCTGTTACCCCAACCCCCTTTAATTAAAATAGATTTTTTTTTTTAATTTGTCATAAATATATCATAATTATGTGCCACCTTGTTTGTTAATTACTTCATCTTAAAATGTACATTTGTCAGCAGGGGGACATCTGAAATAGTCAACCCTGTTACTGTGATTTTGTACAGTAAACATGATTTTTGAACAACGAATATTTGTGAAAAATGAATAAAAAATAATAGTCAACCCTGTTACTGTGATTTTGTACAGTAAACATGATTTTTGAACAATGAATATTTGTGAAAAATGAATAAAAAATATCATCATTATATTCTCCTTTTAATAATTCACATAATGGTACAACCTAGAGCACAAAGGCTAAACAAACTATAAAATGTCAACTCTGTTACTTTTTTATTTAATGACAAAGGTATAAGTATGTGCCTCCTTGTTTGTAAATCACCTAATCATAAAATGTTACATTTGTCTCTAGGGGACGATCATAAATAGTCAACCCCGTTACCATGATTTTGTACAGTACAGTTAATTACTGAACACTGAATATTTGTGAATGAATTAAAAAAAAACAGCATTAATGTATATTCATAATAAACACATTGTAAAAGTGTTAAGATCTTTGCTAAATGGCTAAAATATTTGCAAAATAAATGAATAAAAATATCAGCATTAAATTATCTTTCTAATAAACACCTTGTAGTGCACTGACTAAACAAACTTTAAAATGTCATCTCTGTTACTGTTTTTTTTAAAGGCATAATGGTATCATAAGTGCCTCCTTGTTTGTTTGTTAATTTATCTAAAAATGTTTGTCAGTAGGGGTCGATCTTAAATAGTCAACCCTGTTACCGTAATTTTGTACAGTAAACATCTGGTTACTGAACATTAAATATTTGTGAATGAATACAAAATCAGCATTAATGTATATTCATAATAAACACCTTGTAAATGTGTTAAGACCTTGGCTAAATGGCTAAACAACTCTGTTACTTTTTTAAAAAGTACATTTATTTATTTACTTACTTGATATGCGATTTTAATGCAATTTACTCTAACAAAATGTTATATATTTTACGATAAATTAGTTGTTTGTTGTATGTTTGTTTATACCAGAAAAGACACATTTTTTATTGTATTCAAACATGAGCACTTGCAACAAGGCATTGAGTCTCCACTGGTGTCACTCCATCATGCCTACCTGAAATCACTGTACGGATGAATAATCCAATTGCCAGCGGATTTGACTCGTTCCTGCTCCTTCTCCACTGCCTTTTGACTCCCAAACATACGCAGTGAGAATTTGTTGACCCCCGGCTGTAGCATGGAGCTAAACTGCCTCTGCATGTAAGTTTGATTGTCCCTGGCTTCCGCATCATCTGCCGTGAACTGGCCATCCTCGGACTTGGGAAAGCTGACAGAATTGCCCGGCTGCTGCTGCTGGTTCGAGGTCGGTCCGTGGGCCGGCGTAGCGCTGGAGAAGGAAACTCTGGAGTCCTTCTTCTCAGCGGGAGGAGCAGCGGCGGTCGGGGCAGGAGTGACCGAGCCGTCCATGCTGGAGGTGCTGGAGTGACATGCAGATGCTGGGAAGCCTCCACCTGTCTGCTTCTCCTGCTTGGAGAGGGTTGAGGACAAGCTCTCGTCTCTTCGGCAGTCTCCGTTGATTACGCATCTCATTCCGGTGCCATCCTCGCCGTCAAACCCGCTCTTGTCGCTGGAAACATCTCCGTGGCAGAGGAGCGCGGTGGATTCCGTGCTGCGTCCACAGGAGACGGAGGCGAAGTCCTTGTTGTAGGAGATCCTGCTCGCCGCTGCTGTTGCTCCCCCTCCTGGCGTCACATTCTTCATCTTGGAGGAAGAGTCAAGGATGTCGCCCCTGCGAGTCTCTTTGTGGTCTTCATCGCCATCCTCCGCTTCGTCCATGACGGCGTTGCTTTGAGATGAATCCTGACGCAGCCAGATTGCGAAAGCAGTTGCCTACAGTCCTTTACTACGCGTCCCAATGTCAGCAAACAACTACACCAGTCGGGTTGCTATAGCTGCACTCGTTCACACCCTTACCTGTACTAAACCATCACAAGCTCTGTGTTCAGATAATGAATGGAGTCAGGAATATGTCATGGATAAATTAGTGGAAAATAGGCCGAGATGCGCTATATTATGCGAGTCTCGGTGTTAATTATGCAAATGTAGGTTAGTGGTGTGTAATAGTATGTTTGATGATTCATTATCCAGTTTCACATTTCTTAACATGGTGATATTGTAAATAAGGATACCTGAAATGAACGAACGAAACGAAAAAATCTAATTTGACAGTCTTTTTTAAGACTAGGTAGCTACATGTAGGCTTCATGCAAATTTGAAAACGTCTTGAAAATAAAATAAAATATTTGATGCCTAAAATGTCAGGTTTGTGACCATAATTTCTAAACATGGTCTTCTTTTTAAAGTACAATATCGGTTTGAATCATATCAGATGTGCTTATAGGCCTAGCCTATTCCATTTGATTTTAACAAAAAGTGTAGTTTAAAAGTAATTGTAACTTCATTTTTTAACTTTAAGACTGTACACATTCATAAGGGTCATAATTTAGGCTATCATTTTGTTAAATGACAAAATATTGGTTTCACACCATAAGGATGGTGCGAATCAATAAGTTTTCCAAAAAGTATTTTTTTTCTCATTAACTACATTTAAGGAAACTACTTTAATATATTTTTATACAAGGATTTCAGTCTTTTGAGACGTTTTCGCCGTTCATCTTATTTTTAACGGGCGCGGCCATTTTTAACTTCAATGTGCGGAGGCTTCCGGTGTCATTTGTTTCCAGTTATTTTCCGCTGTACAAAAACAGTCCGTTATGCTGTTTTAAAGGCTATCGCAAACTGATATTCATTATCACAATCATAAAAGCACTGGTTTGCAGTTGTTTAGTTATAGCTAATGAATCGGAAGTCTCGCCCATTCAAAGAAAATAGCTTAGGCTACTTCATTACAAAATAAAGGTGGATAGTTATAGGTATCGCCTAGATATTTTGTCATTAGGCCACGCACAAAAAAACCCCCCACACAATTCAAAATGTTAAAATACGTTAATCATACCCTAGAGGTGATTTCAAATCTTTTAAGGACTTTTATTTATTTTGTAGCTTTATAGATATCAACATGCATTGCTCTTTATGTGGAATCACCCCTAAGATGTCACAGGCCTTGAGTCATTTATCCAAGTAGCAAATATTCACATGGACAAAACTGAGTAGTAGTAATACTACGGTTGACTATTTTGAAAGCCCATAAAGGTTTAAATGATATGCTTTATATTCTGGAGTGTCTTTGTTTCCAATGTAATAACGCTGTGATGTGTGTCACGTAGAGCCGCTCCCTACAGCTGAACCGAATAAATGAGTAAATGTCGCCCCCTTATGGTGGCTCAAAGAACAAGCCAATATAGGCATCTCCGTTATCTTGCCAAGTGGTTTATTTAGTTGAACACACAAAGCAATATTCAAAAGACAAAGTTCAAATCAAATAAGTTTATTTAGATTGTGCAAGTCAGTACAGTTGACAGTGTATTAGATTTGCTATGAAGCTAAGGCAAAATAATTTATACACTTCTAACAATGTCTTAAATTTTACGCATCTCTTAACTTGGAAACGGCACACATCCAGACACTATACTTAATGTATTACAATGCAAGTATGACGGTCTATAGGAGAGTATCATTTAAGCAAAAGCCTTCACGAAAACCCCACCTTCACTGACTTTACCTAAATATTTATAACCATATCATTGTCCTCCATGTTAGAATTTGGGAAACAATTATAACAATTACGCAAACAGCAAATGACACACTGTACTACTAGCACTTGGTCCTTAAGGGTTAGGCAGGAGGAATCCTAAAAGTCAACATTAGAAACTACATTATCAACTTTAAAATAAGCTTGTTTGACATTATTAAACAGAAAATTGTTAGCCTGACAAAATAAAGTGGCATTTGACCATCCACATGGAATAGTGCACTTTAATGTGCAGCGACGACATGAGTACTGCACATAAAAGTTGTTAATTTAAATTTCAATAATTAAAACTAGCATGTACAATAAAGTGGCTAAACATTAAGGCTTACAGAAAGGAAAACGACTGCTGTCATAAAAACTTGATTCAGCGATCTATTTGTATACACTAAACATGGTTAAATTCGAATGCGGCTGAACAGTGATTCAATTACACTCGGTAGATGTTTCGGAAAGTTGTGGTGTGTACACTCGTGAGGAACAGTGAAAGAAACCAGGAAGACGGAAAAAAAAAAATTCCTTCCCACATTAAGAGATTCACTAAGCACACACTTCTACAGCAAGAATACAATCATGCAGTTCCCCCCAAAAAAAACATTTTAAAAACGTCAGCTGGCAGCACAAAATGGATAGGAATAAAAGTAAAAGGAGACCAATTATTATCTCAAGACGTTTACACTCAAGCAGAAGGGTAAGAACTCGCAGGATGCACTATAATGTGCTACTAAGCAACTCAAAGCATTCTCCATTTATCTTCAACAGTAGTCATCAGGACACCTGAAAGGAATAAAAATAAAAATAAACTATAAATATATTTTTTATATTACAAAAATATAAAATATATATTTTTAATAAATACATTTTTAAAAATATATTATTGTTTCTATTACACTTGAAGGGAAAAAAATTGAACAAAAAAAGTTACTATTTTTTAAATAATAAACTACAACTTAAAAAAATTTAATTATAAATTGTACAGAATTATTGCAAATGTTATATTTATTGTTTCTATTTTTTAATATTCAAGTTATTAAATATTTCATTGCAGTTTATATTAAATGCATGAAATAGAATTACATAAATCAACTTTTTCTACAGTTTATATTATACAAGTCCACAGTATAAAAGATACACATTAAAAATAGTAGTAATAGTAATTAATATCGAATAACACATTATACATTATTATTATTCCTTTTATTATATTTAATGCATGTTTTATATTCTATTATTGAATTTTAAATTATAAATTGTATAGAATTATAAGCTGTAATACTGTTTCTATTTATTTTTAAAAACATTTAAATGATCAAATATTTCAATACTCTTTATATTAAATGCATAAAATAATTTTAATAGAATTACATAAATATTTTTTTACTACAGTGTATTATACAAGTCTACAATATAAAAGATACACATTAAAAATAAACAGTTGTAATAGTAATTAATATGAGATCACATTTATTATGGTTTATAATATATATATATATAAAGTGTATAAAATATAGAACATTAATGTTCCATAACGGGCTTTGTATATTAAATATAAAAAAATTATTATATTCAATTTGCAAATAATATTTAAAGAATAATATTTCACCTTTTCTCCTTTCTCAGTTGGAGTTCCTTTGCCGGACATTTTTGTCTTTGTGGTTTGTAGCGGCATTGCTCTTCCTGAAAAACACAGTGGCACGTCAGTTCCCTCTTTGATGTGCATATGAATTTCCTGAGCTAGAAGCACATCTAGGGCTACTGTCTAGACTTCAACATGGCCTTGAAGTTCCTTTGAGGAAAAACTGCACAAATCACTTCTGCAATATCTCAGCACAAATAATACAAAACACTTACAGTGGTGCAGATCCTGAGTCATCATCTACAGGAACACATGAAAAGAAAAAAAGATAGTTAAACACTCATTTTGACAAATGTACAACACTACAGTCTATTTGAACCGTTACAGTAGCTTGTCTAAAATCTAGTGTGACAGCCTCAATACAGTGAGAACCGCAAGTTTAAAAGCAGAGCACCTAATGAGTAATGCGATTTGGTGACTGGAAAATCTTGATACTCTTAATTCAGTTATTTCTACTGCTAAAACTGTACACATCAACTAAACACCGCTATCAATGTTTTCACAGAACTACTAATAATGATTCATGCAGAACAATGCATTTACATCAACCATGCAGTCTGATGTTGGATTGAAAGGATATGTTTAGTGGTTTTCAACCCAAGAACAAACGTTTCCAATCAAATATCATTTGTTTGTAGCACAACCTCACCTACAGATGTAGTAGAGAAAAGCATTGTTCCTTTTCTGCATCAATCATGGTGAAGGCTCTCAAACAGCATTATATCACATCACATTTCTAAACTCCTGCACTGTACTTCTGGAGTCAGCATATCACACAGAAACCCTACTGAAAAGTCTAAAACCACTGAAAAATGTCCTGCCTCTGGCACATATGTAGGAAAGTCTATGGATATGACAACGGCTGTATGGAAATCAAAATAACACCTAATCACAACCCTTATGAACTGGAGGGAGAAAAAAAAAAAAAGACACATGACTTTGAAAAATTCCTAACAAATCAAATAATACTAAAATTATTATTATTATTTCAAAATATTTATGCAACTTATTTTGTGGAACTTGAGTCACTATAAAATGTCTGTGTAAAAGACCAAATTAAAAGCCAATATTATTATATACAGATTTATAACATGTAAAATAAAAATTTGTAATTCAAACCACAACAGAACTACGTGTATTTACAAAACATTTTGAATTTAATTATAAAATGTATAACACATTCTTCATTATTGTTGTTGTATATTTATACACACACACAACAATCCCCCGAAATAGCATGTATTAAGTCACTATAAATATTTTAGAAAGATAACTCTAAAAGTAAATAGCATATAATTACATACATTTATAATATGTAAAATAAAAATGCATTTTGGAGGGGGTTTGAAGTCACTCTATATGCTGTTTAAAACAATAAAATACTAAAGTAAATAGTTTATATTAATTTATAATGTTAATAAAACATTTTATAATATGCATTTTTGTGGTGATTTGAAATCACTAAATGTAAAGATACTACATTTATAATAAGAGAACATATAATTTAAATATGCCTTTTTGAGAGGTGGCGGGGTTGGGTTTAAGTCACAAAATACTGTGGAAAAAAGATCAAATACAATAATAAAGTAATAGATATAGTAGTATTAGGGGTGCTCCGACTGATCGTTACCGATCACTATCGGCTGATAATCGCTTTGTCCAGTAAGCACAAATCAATAGAATGTGGACACATACATGGTGTATTTTACCTCATCTAGTGTACGGATTTATTTTACTGACTAATTCCATAATTGCAATAGTCTATTTCTCTATTAAAACAACAGCGATTGAGTAAGTGTATTTATTCAGCGATCACAATCGCAAACAATATAGTGAGATGAGATCTCATGACAGAACACAGACCGGCTGAAATTTCATTTAGATCGCTAAACTCCAGCTTGTTTGTTTTTCAGATCATCTACGGCGGCGCTTCCGCAATGAGGAGTGAGCGCGTGCGCATGGTTGCCAGATTGCTTAAAATAAGCCAAACACACCGGGCAGAAAATGTATCAATTTAACAGCGAAGCTCTGATTCGGGGATTACAACTCTTGATATCTGGCAACAGCCCTCATGAAAGCTCGCATAGTAGAGGCGTGTAGAGCAGTTTTTGGTAAAGTTTTTATTTGTTTGAATACATTTAGTCTCGTCTTATTTCGTCAACGAAATTGCATGTTGATATCGTCTTAGTTATCGTTTATTGACCTTATTGTTGTCTCGTCATGGGAAAAAAAGCTCGTCAACGAACAACGAAATTACCACTAGTGAAAGCACAGTCCGTGCTGCTTCCTTGCGTACCACCATAGACTGTATAAAAACACACATGGACCTGCATACGCACTGCAAACGGAGTATGTGTGAACCTGGTGTAAAAGGCTACCTCACATACAGCTCACAAAATCAGGCTTGTGCTGCGTGTAAGCTATTGTGCAACAATTGCACGATTGTAAAAACAAAAATGCAGTGCATGATCAAACATTTAGGTGAGGTAAATATACATTTTTTTGCAAAATGTTTAAAAATTGCCCCCCTCCACCCCTCAAATTAAAAAATCCCCTCTCACAAGAGTCACCTAAGAGGGGAAATCATTTTCAAAAATTAAATTCAGGCCCTGAATAAATGTCAAAAATTCCTGATTGAAGTATTACTATAAATAATTCTACATGATAAAAATAAGGCTTTAAAAAGATAGGTATCAGTGATGGTATCGGCAGATACTGCTTTCTGTGATCGGTCTCAAAAATCCTAATCGGAGCACCCCCAAGTAGTATGCATGTATGTGTATGTATGTATATATATATATTTATAAATATGCACATTTATAATATGTAAAATATTTTATAAATAATACATGCAGTTGTGTGGGGGCTTGATTTATAAGATATATCTATTTATTTTACGTAAGTGTGTATGTAATGGGGTTGAACGACTTCTGATTTTTTTAAAGTAGACTATTATGTGATGAAAGTCGAGTCGAAGTCGACTAGTCGCTGATGACGTCATTAATGAACTAAGAAGTCTGGAGCTGAGACTCAAACACCTTGTGCACAGCTATGGCATATGACACAGCGCTGCCCACATGGCTATTGCCCCTATAACAGCTCATTTTTATCAGTTCTTTTGTCTTTGGGTCGGTATATTTCTCACAGATTTCTGCTCGTTCTAAATCAGATACAGATAAAGTAGCACAGTAAAGTTTACATTCATATGAATGCATTAGTGAGAGTGATTGCGTGTCTGAATTCATTCTACCTGGCAGCTTCTATTTAGTGAAGCTGTGAGATTTAGTTAAAAATCACACATCTTGTAGAGCGCTTTCAGAGCATGCATTTATTTGTAATTTTAACTGTTTGGAAACAGAGCGTAAATGTGCAAGTCCTTCAAAGATTTCTTATCCTGTTGTGCCCTCTATAGGACCAGTGACTAGTCGACGTCAAGCTTAAAGCGTCATGGCAGAGCATTGCAACCCCTAGATATATAGTCTTTATCTTATTTTTTTATTATTTTTTTTTAAGACTACATTGTAAACAGACCCCCCCCAACAAAAGGCATGCATTAAGTCACAATAATGGTCTACTTTTCTTTTTACACATGTACTATACTCATTTGTAATATGTAAAATAATAATTTATAATATATAAGCATTTTAAAGATTTATAATTGATTAATGAAGATTTATAAAATCACTATAAATGTTCATTAAATATACTGTATATTCATATTCAAAGTACATAAAACAATTTTAGAAAATTACGGATTTTTAATAAAATGAAATTTTCCGGTTACTGGCAAGGTTGTGCTTCAGACAGACACACAATCAGAAAGAAACTTTAAATAAGATGCGAGTTAACACCCAACTAGGGTTGCAAAAACTTGGAAACTTTCCATTAAATTTCAGAAACAGTCCAGAAATTTTGGAAACTTTCCAGGATTTTTTGTAATCTTCCAGGGATTTTTGGAAAGTTTCCAGAAATTTTCCACCCCTTTGCAACCCTACACCCAACAAACATATACTTTTAAAAAAAACAAGAAGCTGAATCTGAGTTTGAAAGAGACTTTTGCTGAAGTTTTCATGCAGAGACCATGTCCAAACACACTCAGAAAGATGAAAACTGTCTAAGTAATAAAGTTGGGATTATATATTTTGCCACCCTTTGTGCCATAAGGGTGCCGCCTCTCAAGAGACGTATAATCTAGGGCTGAAGAACATCATGCAATGAGAAGATGATGCAGAGAGCATGCAAGGCAGTATAACATGATCCGTCTGAAATGTCATCTTAGTTATTATGCATAATACCTTGACATTTAAAACCCATTCTGAAGTGCAATATGTCAGACTCAGCTAAACGCTTTCACTGGCTACGGGAAAACCAATAAAGTTGCTTTTCTTGAACCCAAGTCTGACAAATCTGGTTCGTTTTATCTTCTTATTTAAGACAAACCACCAGTGAAAGAGTTGTACTTCTCAGCCTATCAAGGAGAGCATTCAGACTCCCAAAACCACCCGTTTAAGCAAATCCACTTCAGTCTGACATGCATTTTTGAGCACTTACCACAACGTAAAAGCAGCAGCGAACAGAGAAATAAACGACGTAAATAATAAAAATAGACTCCGCTAAGGAACAGCCACACACTTCAGCCAAATAAAATAAACATACAAAATCAAACTGAAATAGGATCTTGCACCATTACGAATTCATAAACAAAAAATGTAAAATTACATCCACTGATCATTCATTTGTACATTCACGAAAATGGAAATGAAACATCATTACGACGGAAACAACTAGCATCACATACCGTCATTGATCTCGTCTGGCTTTCTCCTCTTCTCGTAGATGAAGATGATGGTGATGAGAATAATGACCTCAGCGACAATGCCGAGGAATGGCCAAAGGGCGGCCAGTTGGCTACGCACACGCAGCTGAATCTTATCACTGGCTGATCCTATTTCATTGGTGCCCTGGCACTGGTACATGCCCATGTCCTTGTTGATGTCCAGATCTTTCACGTACAGCGTGGTCTTGTTGGGGGTGTTCTTGATCTCATACTTGTCAATAGTGCCATTGACAATGGGCGTCTGTGTTGACAATGCAAAATTGTTAGTAAGTTAAGGCTGATGATACACAGGGCAACTTTTTGATCAATGTTGCTGGGCAACTTCTGGTAACGGGCAACCAGGTGAGAGACAGGGCCCATTAACAATCTAAAGATAGAAATGTATTGCCCATTCTCAATGGGAAAGTGCTCAAGCAAAATTGGTCAAAAAGTTGCCCCGTGTATCATCAGCCTGAGGCTATTTCTAATAACTACTAGCGCACAACAGTTATTATTAACAACCATCCAAACATAATTATTAAATATATAATTATTAGACAATAAATTAAATAATTATTAAATAATTAATCATAAGAATGAATGCATTGTATACATATAACAAAATACATTATATAATATAAAATACATTATATAATAACATAATCAGATATTTTATGTAATATAGTACTGGACAATAGGTTGAACAACAATAATTAATGTAATTACTACCACTGTAACAGTTAAATTAATAATTATTATTTTATTAGTAGCAGGGCTCTGAACTGGTTCAAGGAATGAAAACGAAAGCTGGAAACAAACGAAATTGACAAGAACAGAACCAGAAACGAAATCAAATTTTATAGTTCCGAAAATAATCAAATTTTAAATGGCCATTAACCGGTTAATAACGTTATTTTATCGTTCCATTTAATATTTGAAATTTGCGGTCAACCAATCGCTAATTCCAGTAGTACGGCCTATGCAAATGTAAGCTGACGCATCCAGCGAGTGAAAGGCCCATCTCACTCATCATAGGGAAGTCGCAATGGCAATGCAAAGGTGTTCGAGTTTATCCGAGAATAGTGTAAGAAGGATTCAACAGATCAAACGCACCTGCAGCACTTCTGTGAACGGAGAAAACAGAACGAAACTATAGGCTTACATAAAAAGAAATATAAAGGCATTATACACAAAATATATTTCACTTAAATCATTGACAGATTAACAAAACGAAAGAAAAAAAAAATGTCAGTTACGGTTCACTGTGACATGTTCCAAAGTTCTCGGAAAGCAAAACGAGACAGCAGAAAGTGGTTTTCTTTTTTTTGCAAAAGCTTTACAGTTTTATTTATTTTGCAAAAGCTTGACAGTTTTGAATGATGTCTTGCTTCTATCTGTATAACCAACCAGCGTTGGTATGACCATCTCACCGGCACCTCACGCGCACACACAACATATTTTTGCGAGATTGCAGCCTGTTCATTAACAAAATAAAACGCAGTTAAAGAAACAAATAAAAAGTTACAATCTCCATTGTACAATCCGTTGCGTTCAGCGTGACCACCGCCTCACTGTGCTGATATAGCCGATGATGTTTTACATCGATGAAAAGTACAAAGCCTAGCCTATAATAAATAATATTTTATCATCTAGATACGTCACAAATATGTAAACATTTGGATTCGTGCCGAATAAGAGAGGTAGGCATCATTTTAATCTTAAATTAATTTGTTTTTGGATTGACGTTTTTATAGTCTAAACGCATAGTCTTAACATTCGAGGATTTGTTGTGGAGAGAAACTAATAACTGTTTATAATGTTTGTAAACATCTTGCTTTAGCCTACCGGCATTTTAGCCTACATTATTTCTGAATGTAATAGGGCTAATAAAATGCGACGTGAGCCTATACACGACTTATGGGGTTTTTTTCCACTCTCAAAACGCAATCTTATACAAGTACCGTTTTTTAACAATCCAGCAAACATTTTTAAATATCTTAAATACTTTAATGTCTTTAAAGTGTTAATAGATTTTCTTTTGTTCAGTAGCCTACATTTGGCCAAAATCTAGAAAAGATGATGCTGTATTGGCTGTGACTAAGCGCAGCGGGTTAAAATAGGCTAACAGATCTCTTCCTGTTTTTTTTTCTTTTTGTTTTTGAGTAAAGAAAACGCTGTACTTTATTATTATTATTATTGGCAAAGAAATTATTATTATTTTTTTTTTAAAATAACGTTATTAACCGGTATTTCTTCTACTCAAACCGGTTTCGGAACGGTCATAATACAGAGGAACGCAGGAACAGAAACATTCAAATATTGATTCTTCTCGGAGTGAACCGATTGAATTTTTTATTTTTATTTTCAAGCCCTGATTAGTAGTAGTAAACAAGTTGAATATATTGTAGCAATGCTAATAATACAACTATTAGTACTATAATTATAAATTATTAGAATATAAAAAATATATATAATTAGATATTTTATGTAATATAGTACTTGACAATAGGCTGAATAACAGTAATTATTAGGGCTGTGTATCACCAGCAAAGTCATGATACGATAACAGCCTCTCTCTCTCTCTCTCTCTCTGTGTGTTGTAAATGAACAGTTGATGAATTACACTTTTCTGAGAATAGAATATTGAAGTGGAGATCGCTAAACTGCAAGCTAACCAGTGTTTTCAGAAAGCAAGCGCGTTTATCCACAGCGGAGAGCGCGTGCACATGGTTGCCAGGTTGACAAAGATAAGTAGCACACTTAGCAGATATTTCCGTATTGCGCAAGTGTGAAGCTCTGTTTTGGGGATTACGTCTCTTTATATCAGGCAACCCAGTTGTGTTCCTCTGCGGCCAGATTAAACCTTGTTGTAGCCTATATATGCTCTATTCATTCTTTTTTAGAAACCTCGCACTTTTCTACTCAATTTTAAACGTTGTAAAATTTTAAACAAATTAAGGGCGGTCCACAATACACGTGCCACAATATCGATACAGGTACATATCGATACGATACATCATCGTATCGATATTTTGAACACAGCACTAGTAATTATATTAATGTAATTACTACCACTATAACAGTTAAATTACCAACAATAATTACTTTATTATTAGTAGTAAACAAGTTGAATATATTGTAGCAATTCTATTAATACAACTAATAACACTATTATGATAATTATAAATTATAAGAAGTTGTCACAACAGGTTGAATATAATATTGTAATAGACTTGTGCCGGTATTCGGTAATGCGATATCACGATAATGAACATGCACGATATTGTTATCATGGGCACTTCAAAATACTGAGAATAATTATTACAAATTATTCAGAATTCTGAATGCATTTTAAGAATACTTTTCCCATCAACTGGTCACACAATGCACAACACCGCTGAAAGACACATGCGCACTCGAATGTAAACAAGCACAGGTGAGAAGCGCATGGCAGAACGTGTGAGAGACGCACTGGATGAAAGCGCACTTTCACTATCTTACAGCAGATGGCGCTAAACAGCAGAAATGCAGATGTTACCCCAGAAACCCCGTAAACAAAGCAGCTGCACTACTTTCGGTTTCTGAAATGTATTTAAATAATTTAATAGCCATTCAGATTTGTGTAATCGCTATGGTGTTCATCACAGCGCCAAATACTTAAATATTTAGACTTAATAGGCCATTTATT